TGATGATGGTGCTTTGTTTTCCTGAGCCACTTGGAAGTAAATATGAAACCTAAACAAACACATTACTCGCCTGTGATTTACTTGGTGAAATGGGGTGGAGGGGCAATTTGAGTGGTCAACATGACTGGATATGGAAATGACTTGGAGACAATCATCTGAGGTTTCCTGTGACAGTTGCTTTGATCAGATTTTGGATGTGGGGATATCTAACCTAATATGGCAGCACCTCCCTGTGGTGGTCCAAACACTAGGCTGTGGAAGGAGGACTGCTTCTGCTTTCATTCTCTTGCCTTTATTCTGGCTGGTAAGGTCATCGAGCCTATTCATGTTGCACCTTTTTGTTGATGTTAGAATCAAACAATATTTAGGATTTAAATATATAGTGAAGTTGGATCAGATGGCTCTCCAGTAATTTCTAGGTCTTAAGGGCCTGGCCAGGACCACTGTGACATCTAACCTTATGGATCTAACATCTGCTGGATTCTTTACTTTTCCAGTGTGAGACAGCTGTTGTTGGGCTTCCCACTTTAACATGTAAGTCAATCTCATAAATCCACTTTTACTATGTACTTATTCTATCAATTCTGTTCCTGTAGAGAACCTGACTAACACACTTAAGAGTCTTTGAATATTTAGAAATGGATTCTTGTGGGGTAATTGAATATAGAAGTGTTTATGAGTAAGAATGCTTGTCTGCTAATCTAACATCAAAGATCAGAATAACTTTAATGTTGAAAATGAATAATTTAAAAAGCATGACAAGTCTGCTTGAGTGAATGCTACAGGTCTATTGCAATAACAATTCAGAATATGCTAAAAGCAAAATATAAGATGTCTATTCGAGGGTATAAGAAAAATTATATATCATTATTTAAATGTTCCAAACCCAAATTACATTGATTGAGATCTTTCAAAAAATTCTTATTTTAATGCAAAAAGGAACTGGAAATAAATGCATCCATTGATGAAAAAGCTCAATAAAAGGAATGACAGGACTGAAAAGCATTTATTTATCCCCTCATTAATTTGCTCAGGTAGTACTTTTTCAAAAATGTTATGTTGACTCTATATAAGCAGTTTTATACAATTAATAAAACTGTTTTATGGCTGTTATTAAATTGAAACAAGAAGTTTCAAAATATGTTCTCAAACGGTGCAAGCATGTGTGTATGTGTGTGTGTGTGTGTGTGTGTGTGTGTGTGTGTGTCTTTGTGTGTTTGGCTGCACCTGTGTGTGTACACATGTGTGAGATCTCAGTGCATATCTGTGAATGATAAACTGTGTTCACCTAAATATAAATTTATGAGTCCCTAACATGTACATTAATGTCAGCCAACTTACAGGATCCCCACAAATAATACCACAGTCTCATTCTTTTCTCAGTGAGGCAAGTTATAAATGCCCTAAACGACAAGCAGAATAGAGCAAAACATTTTCTACATCAATGGACGATTTTCACACTCTATATGAAAAATGAAGAAAGTCACCATGACTGCTCTGTGAGGCTCCTCTGGACACTGCAGGAACAATGAATGTGGCTGCACTCCAGTCTATTTTAGCGACAAATGAAATTCCTTTCAAAGGAATTTCAAGAAAAACTCACTCCTTCTTAAAGAGCTTCTGGCAGCAGAGAGTTTCTGGAGGAGACTCATTCTTTCCTTGAGAATGTAACCGTTGCTACATTTCCCATAGTCCAGCAGCTGTTCTACCCGGGTATGCATGTTCAACACTAACTATATGTAGTGGTTATAACAGAACAGCAACAACAAAATGAAGATGGGGAGAGAAGTACCAAAGGAGACGTGAACAGAATGGGGGAACATGGAAGCATCATACTCCATTGTTCACATATATAAAATCTCAAGAATAAAGAAAACATTTCAAAATATGTAAAGAGAAATTCTTAACTGTGAAAGGTCCCTTCTTTGGAGGACAAAATCTCACCTTCACTATCCAGTTTATTTGTGAAGTTCTTCTTTGGTGTGATAATACATAAACATGTGTGTGTATGTGCGTCTCTCCCTTTGTGTGTAAGCCAGAGGCTTTGCCTTTGCCTGGCCTCTGAGACAGGGTCACTTTCTGAACACAGAGCTCCTAAACTAGCTAGACTGTAAAGCCAGTAAGCTCTGGAGAGCCACCTATTTTCATCCCCCCCAAATATCACAGGTGCTTTACCATGCCTGGCGTTTAGGCAGGTGCGAAGAATCCAAACTTGGGTCCTCTGTTGAAAGGTTAAATATGAGTATTGGGTTGTAACAATTCAATAAAGAATAGAGAAATAGCTCAGTGGTTAGGAGGATATGCTGCTGTTTTAAAGGGTCTCTGTTTGAATCTCAGCACTGATGTTGGTTGGCTCACAACCAGCTGTAATTCTAGCTCTAGAGGATATAACATTGACTTCAGGCCTCCAAGGGCACACACACAAACACACACACACAGACATGCATAGATACATATTCACACTCACGCAATTAAATAATAAGGTGAATCTTAAAAATAAAGATTCAGTAAAATTTCCTGATTATTTATAATATCTATAAAGTGCAATTTATTGGACAAAATATTTTCCTAGTACTCAAGATTACAAGGTTTACCAGGCAAAGATAAAGTAATTTCCTAATGACCCATTTTTAACATGGAAAATTTTACCTGCCTGTTCCAAACAATCATGTGACCCAGAGAGAGCCAGAAATTTATTTTTATGTAAATGCATATATTTTTTAGGAATAAATACAATTGCATTATTCATGAGTATGTAATTAACCAGTCTACTTTTCCACCTTAATAATATACCATGAAAATCAGTCTTCCTCTTTGCTGTAGAAATTATATATGTCCTAATTTTTTAATTTCAATCTTGATTAAAATTAAAGGCGCATTTGTGAAGATTGTCTAATAATAAAAACCTCAGGTAACTTTGTAGTTTAGGTAATGCCATAAAATTTTCTCAATCCACAGTAAAATTGCTAGATACAAATATGCATACAGATAATAGTAACTGCTCTACTTAAATAATGTTTTCATTTGTATATGCGAATAGTACACGATGGGTTTTATCATGACATTTTCAGACATGTACATCATGTATTTGGATCCCATTCACTTTCAAATTACTCTTTTGTCTCTCCCTCTCCTGTGGACACATTCTGCTTCCCAGCCAGCCCCCTTCTGTTTTTTTGGATGCTCCAATGAGTTTTATTAATGTTACATCAGCTTTAGAATAATCACACGAGTTGAAGGATCTGAGAACATAAATTAAGCAAGTTGGTGAGGTATTTTATGCCACATTTATATTTACATTTTTAAAGTTGGGTACTTTTGGCTACATGCTTATGAAACTCTCATAATCTTTTGATTTCTTCCAATTACTTGTCATTATAAAGCTCTCTCTCTGTGTGTGAGTGGGATGTTTACTTCCAAGGGTGCTTGTTTCCTCCTGGATGTTCCTTATTGAAAATTAAATTTAAATTGACTCATTAATCTTGACATATTTAAATCAGCTATTAATAAACTTTGATTTTGAAATAATTTAAATTTTTAAAATTCTTTTGAGATTTAGAAGAAAGAAACCTTTCCTTCCTCTCATCAAGAAGTCTCTAAAAACAACATGACCTCCTCTTCATTGAGAAGACATTAGCTTTATTTTGTATTTTAAAATTTGCATTGCATTTTCAGGAATAGATACTAGATTTTCAACTTACGGTACTAATTCATTTTGATAGTGATTGATTTAGTCAGTTTTGAATATTCGAAAGTTAATATTCACTTACTGTTATTGCGGATATACTATGCACATATGTGTCTGAACACTCAAGGGCATGCATGTAGAAGACTGATGACGTTTTGTTCTTTTTTCATCATGAAGTGGGTTTTGCAGATGGAACTCGGGTCACAAGGTTTTCAAAGTGAGTTCCTTTACCTACTGAGTCATATTGCCAGTCCAAACATTCAAAACCTACATAATGGCTTGAGAGCGTTACTTATACAAAATAGAAAATGTGTATTTAATGAGCAAAACTTCTTTAGATTGTCACCAGATCTTGAAATTAGCATGATTTCTAGTTATTAAGTTATATATACCAGTTGGATGTGGTGACACACAATTTTAATCTCAGCATTCAAGAGTCAGAGGCCCTTGGATCTTTGGCTTCGAGGATAGCCTGGTGTATACAGTGGGTTCCAGGACAGCCACAGCTACCTAGTGAGACTGTCTCAAAACAACAAAAAGTGTTGTGTATTCTAGGGCTGAGGATGTAGCTCAGTTGGGAGAGCACTTGTTTAGCATACATAAAGCCTGGATTTGATCCCAAAACTGCATAAACTATGATGGTAACTAGGGATGGAATTGGAGAAACAGAAGTTCAAGGTCATCATATAGTAAGACCATCTTCACCTTGGGTGATAGGAGTTCTGTTTAAATGAATACATAAAACTGCATGTAAGGCCATCAATTCACATGACATCACATGTCTGACTAAATGTTGTTGACACTGTAATGATGAAGTTTGAGTGTATTTGTGTTGATGGTATCATTTCCCCCAAATATGTGTGAGATCCATGTGCTTAGTGTCATGACACTCATGGTAGGCTCTGAATGACACATGTGTTAGGCCTCTGGGAGTAGGAATACGGCCTAGTTGATAAAGCTTTTGTCACATAAGATTGAGGACATGAGTTTGAATACCCAGAACACATATTGAAACCAAAATTGGTAGCATGCATCTGTAATCCTATGGGGAGATGAGAGGTAGACAAGGGAGAATCTCCAGAAGTCCCAGGTGAGCTGGCCTAGAGTAAGCAGACCTGAACAACAGGAGACCCTGCCTCAGAGAAGATGAAAGGGAAGAACTGACACTAAAGGCTGTCTTCTGAGCTCTACAGGTGGGCCACTGCTTGTGTATGCCACACACACACACACACACCAACACACACAAATAAAAATAAAAGGAAAGAACATTGACCCTAATTAAGCTAAACCAAGGAAGGATCCCAGGACCTACCTGGACCAGGAACATAGCTATGTGGTGGAATTCTCCTCTGCCGCCTTGTTTGACAGGAACAGTCATGAAGAACTTGCTTCCATCTCTGGAAAACACAGGTTCCTCGTTCTATAATGAAGAAGGTTGTAGAATAATCTCAGAACCTCTAGGGGAAGCTTTCTACTCAGCATCAAGCACAGAGTGTTGTTTGATTTTGAATTAGTTAGGGAAACAAAAACTGTTTTGTTTTTTAAAAAAAAACAAAACGTGGCATTTAGAATTTAAAAAATGAACTTAAATGTCACATTATGTATATTAATATCAAAAGTGGAAAGAACAGTGAAGTTTCACGCAAAGGGGATCAAAATGATTAAAAATTAGACTGAAGACCTGTGTCAAATGAATACATGCAAGAACTTTTATATCTTGACCTGAATTTGCACTTGGTATTTTAACTTTCAAACATCATAAAAAGGTGAATGAATTATATAAACCAGCTCATCAAAAGATTTTTTTTGAATCATAAAAGTCTTTAAGAAACATTTTTTTGTAAAATCTTTTTACGAAGAAATGAATCAGATGATTCATTTCTGATAGTGCACACAATGTTTATTGAAAATACAAAAAGTAAAATGTCACATGATTGGAATTTGATCTCAATTTTATGTAATTAATGTTTATTTCTCCTCAAACACACACACACACAAAATTCCCACTCCTTGCTCTGTACTTCAGATGAGTTTTTAATTAAACCACAGTGACATACATAAATATAATTACTATGTTTTTAAAATAAAATTAAAATAGTCAAACATCCATTTACAGAGAGACATGCAGTTGCAAGTGTGTGTGTGTGTGTGTGTGTGTGTGT